CGCCAGGAAGTCTGCGAGACAATGGAAGCACCGCCTGGGCTGCCCAGACGTCGGGCCCCTCGCTCCACTTTGCGCAAACTTGTTTTTGTAAGGTCAGCGCCGTGAGCTGGCTACATCCTCGTCTTAAGGTGGACCGGGGAAGTTGCGGTCGATCTCCGCCGGCCCCGCACTCCGGCCGAGTTGGTGGGTCCCAGTTTCCCGCCTGCCGGAGGCTGCTGGCGGCGCAGCGGAGGGGAGTGGAGGGGGCGGGGAGGTTTGCCTTTGGCCCCTCCCCAAGTAGCCCTGCCCCGGGGTCCCAACGCAGAAGGTTTCGACGCGGGGTAGGTGCGGGCCAGAGGGGCCTAGATCTTTGAAGATGGGCCGGGAGTGGGGTGGAGTGGGGGAGCAGAAGCAGGAAGTGAATGTTCGGGGAAACAAGAGAGGAAGGAGAGAGTGATGGTACAAAAATAGCGCGTGTGTGGGAAGGACTTCAGTACTGCCTAGAAGGGAGGTGCTGGGGGAGAGCGGCGGGAAGGGGCCAGAGAGAGGGGAAGGGTCCGAGCCTTCTCTGAGGCGGCTGTTTCATGGCCAGGGGCCTCACCAGGGAGGGCAGACTCGGGGACTAGGGAAGGGCCAAGGCGGGGGTGTGGGGAACTTGGGCCCTTGAAGGCCTGGGCTCCAAAAGAATGACAGGCATTTGAGAAAGAGAAGAGGAGGACAGGTTGGATCCCAGACAACGGAGACTCCGATGGAAAACGCTGCCTTCTCTCTCTCTTTCTTGAGATTCTGTGTTCACAACAGCAGCCAGGTCACGTGGTGATGTGGGGAGCTGGCGTGCTGGTCATGAGCCCAGGGAGGGAAAGGAGTTCAAGACCCATCACTAATTGGAGAGTTGCTGAGTTGGAAGTAAGCTCAGAGAAAACCAGTTTTGCTTCACAGTTAAGGGACATGGTGAAGCAAAGCAAGAGAAGGCCCACTGTAAATGAAGGAGTTGGGGCCAGAGAGAAAGGAGATTTGTCTAAGGCACCTCACTCTGTGAAACCTGGGAAGAAAGGAAGTGTGAGTGTTTGATTTCCAGGCTGAGGACCTTTGCAGTGTCGCCCCTCACTTCTCCAGCACCTGGTGAAATGCCTGGTTCTGCTTTTCTGCTAAGACAGAGAGGCAGGCAGGGTACAGCTGTTGAGAAAATGGGTGGAACTCCCTGGGTTTATATCCTTCTGGCATGTCTTATGAGCCTTGTAGACTTGGGAAAATTCCTTATTGTTTCTGTGCCCCACTTCTTCATAGGAAATGAGACCAACCTAAAAAAGCCATTGTGAGGGTTAGAGGAATTAGTATTTGCACATTTGAAAAAGAGCCTAGCATGTACCAAGCGCAGGGAAAATATTTGACAGGTGAGTGTTTGGCAGCAGTCCTTGGGAATCCACAGGGTTCTGGGCAGCATTGATGTGCAGGGGAATTTTCATGTCTTTGGGCATGAGAGGTTACAACAGGTCCCCATCCTGGAAGGTGTCACATTCTAGTAGAGGAGACAGAACTGGGGAAGTAGGAAAACTAACCAACACAGAAGATTAGCTTAGAGAGAGAGCTGACTGAACTCATTTAGACAGGATGAGGGAAAGCAAAGCAAAGATGTGGGGAAAAAAGTGTCCCAGGAAGGGGAGCAGCACAAATAAAGGTCCTGAGGCCAGCTTGGTTGGAGGTGGCCCAGCTGGGTGGCCTTGAAGGCTGAGGTAAAGGCCCTGCAATATTCTGCAGTGGGAGCTGCTGGAGGGCTGCAATCAGTGGAGAGCTGGCTGGAGGCTGGAATTGGGTGTCAGGGAGAAAAGTTACTCTGGGATCATGTGACAGGGGCTACCAGGAGACTCTTCACCTCATTAGATCACATCTTTATCTGGCAGGATCATGAAGGTGACCAGTGAGGCTCCTGGGAAAATCCAGTACCACACTCCATTTAGGGGTGTGTATAGGGTGCTATGATAAGGTCAGAAATGAGGGAACTTCCTACCTGGGCTTCCAGAAGGCTCTGCTGTTCATGATTCCCCAGGGTGCACACACAAACCCGCCTGGGATTAGGAAGCTGCGGATTAGGAGGATAATAATCGAACCACCTGCTATTTATATAGAGCACTTTTGGCAAAGGCTTTCAGCAAGGCTTCCCATTGCTGGGCCCCTTTCTGTCTGACTCCTCGGTGGAGTGGGGAGGGAGCACTTTGTTCTTTTTCCACCTAAGAATCACCCATGGCCAGAGGCCACAGATAACAATGAACAAATGGGGGTGGGGGACACTTTGCCCAAGGGTCCCATAGATAGATTATGGCAGATAATTGCTATGAATCAGCTACTCCCAGAACAACTATCTGGCTGTCCCAGATTAAAATCTGACTGCCTTCATAGGTATCTCATTCAAATATGCTCTCCCCAATAAGTATTAAGCATCTACTGTGTGCCAGGCACTCTGCTAGACAGTGGTGCGCCTGCTGCAGTTGGGAAAAAAAATGACACAAATCCCTGCCTTTAAGGAGCTGACAGTCTAGCAGGGAGAAGCAAGCAAATGAATAGGTAAAATATTTAGTGTTAGACAGGGATAGGTGTTCAGGGAGAAATAAGCAGGGGAGGGGCCCAGGAATGCTGATGAGAGGGCAGGCAAAGTTTTAAAAGGGTTCAGGAAGGTCTCACAAGGAAAGAGATGGAAGCCAGAGGTGGCTCCATCCTGCACTGGCTCCTTGGCCTCTCTGCTACCGGTGGCTGTGCTGTCAGTGACCCACAAGCTGGGCTTTTCCACCACATGCAGAAACCAAGCCACTCTCAACACCTCCACTGCTACTGTCCTGGGCTGAGCCTCCACCATCTCAAGAGATCCATCCTACCCTTAGTAGCCCAAGGGATGCTTGTATATAGTCAGGTCTGAGCTCTGTCCTGCTGTCTGGGGGCCTGCAAAAACAGACCTGAATGAGTGTGGATCTTTGAAGTTCAGATCCACCTAGGCTATTTATTTTACACAACTTGGGCAAAAGGGGGAGTGGGGGTTGAGCCTCAGTGTGCAAAAGAGTAATGACAAGGACAATCTTAACAAGAGAGGACACTTTCCATATGGAAAGTATCTGGACTAGGCCTCTGCAGAGTAAGTGCCTGGCCCTGGCATGCCTGTCTTATCATGGAATCCCTGAACTCTGCTGGGTTCCCAGAGGTGAGAAACAAGGCCAGAGGCAGAAAGTGACTTGACCAGGACCACTGTGCTGGGTGTGTTAGAACCTGTAGCAACCCGCTTTGCCTGCACAGGCACAGCTTTGCCCATGCTTGTTCCTGTCTTCCAATAACCCGGCCTGCGTCAGCAGGCAAGCCCGCCAGGCTGCCTTTGTGTGGGGCCTGTCAAGAGGCTGCAGCTGCCAATGACCTATTTTTCTGGGCAAAAGGAGCCATTTGGAGCTGAAGGCCTCAACTGTGGAGCCAGACAATAAAAATAAAAACAGCATGGACTCCTGGGTTGCTTGGCCCGGGGAACCAACTGCCCCAGAGGAGGCTGCTGACCAGGCTAGAGAAAAAGAGGGATGGGCCTGGAGGAGGTGACTTTCTAGCCTTGTCCTATGCTTAGAGTCTTAGTTGGGTCATTGCCAAGGCTCACTACAGCCCTTCTCAGGAGGCTGCTGTCATTGTACAGTGTAACTGTGGAAACTGAGGCCCAGAAAAGTGGAGTGAGTTGCGTCAGGTACACAGCTGAAGAATGTCAGAACCACCAGGATTTGAACTCAGTTCTGCAGGAAATAACAACGGTTCCCCTTAGTGCAGCATCTGCTGTGCTTTACAAGCTTGCTCTTGTGACATATTCATGCCACAGGTGGAGGGAGAGTTCATGAACCACTTATTTTACAGTTGATAAAGTAGACTTTGAGAGTTCCCCTGGTCACAGACCACCTCCTCAGAGGCCTTGCCAAACCATCCTCTTAGAGCACTCATTCCCAGCTCCGTCCTGCCCTCTCCACTTCCCTCCTTTGTCTTACAGCATCATCAGGACCTGCCAAGAGAGTGTGTCTGTATCACATTTTTGCCCCCCTCTCACTAGCTACTGGTCAGCCTAGGCCAGCAGCTCAGGGCTTGGCTCTGGAAGCAGATACCGAGGCTCAGTCTTCAGGCCTCTCTGAGACTAGCTTGAGGGGAGATATTTCAGTGATGTGTTTCTCACTTGCAGATTGGGGTGGTGACAGGGCCACATACCTAAACAGGTTTCTTCTGAAAGTTAAATGAGTTAATACCGGCTATTGCAGAGCTGCAGCTCCAGGGCCTTCAACAGCATACAATAGGCCGGCAATAAATATGTATTATATAAAAAAGTGACCTGTCCCAGCGTTCAGGGTAAGGCATCCACAGAGCATAGATTTGAAAGCAGGTCTCCACAAGCCTGTGTTTCAGCTCACCCCACTTCATAAATCACCCTTCCATAACTCCTCACCTCCAGCCACAGCTGCCCAGGAATCAGAGCTGGGGTTCTCCAACTTGAGCAGATTTCTGTATCACCTGGAGGGATTTTTTAAAATGGAACTAAGGTCCCACCCCCAGAGATTCACTGCAATTCAGTAAATCACAGGTGAGGTCTGAGAACTTGTGTTTCTACTGTTCATGCTGCTGCTCTAGGACCATGCTTTGAGAACCACTGAATAGAGGGCTGCTGAGGTTGAGGTGGGAATGGCCTGTGAGCCCAACCCCTGCTTCCCCCTTGGTGGGTCAGCCTGTCCCTCACCTGGCTCCTGTCCTCTCCTGAAGGGGAAGGCAGAAAGCAGAACAGCCCTAGTTCAGAAACTGCAGCGAGCACTAGGGTTGAGGGGCTGTGACAGATCATGGAGCCAGACCCCCAGGGAGCCATGTGGTAATTAGTGCTTTCCCAGGAAAGTCAGCCTTGCAGCCACTTGCAGGCAGGCAGGCAGGCAGGCAGCTTGCCCGAGCTCATCAGGGGTGGGACTGTGCTGTCAGGCCCTAAACACTATTCTCAGGCTCCTGGATTTGGCTCCACCCAAAGCAGAAACCAGCTGTGTGGATCTGAGCCTTCCCTTTACCTCTGGAGGGTGGATGCTTGCTGAGGCAGAGAGCTGGTGGCCTCCGTGGGCATTGACAGACCTAGGTTCAAGAGACCTGATAGGAATACTAATCTCTGCTAAAATGTGGGAGCCTTGAAGGTTTTCAGCATGACTTCTCACTGTAGCTCTCTTACATGGATGCAGTTCTTATCCTCATTTCACAGGTGAGAAAACTGAGGCAAAGAGTTTAAGAATCTGGACCAAGAGCCTATAGCTTGAGAGCTTACAGAGCTAGGATTTGAATCCTGGAGTACACATTCCGAGCCCCAGTTCCTCAGTCCTGCACATTCTGACTTCAACTTTTCTGGGATGCCTCACAGTGCCCTCTTTGGGTCCCTGTTAGCACTGAGGGCTGACTTGAGGATTTCCGTCTGTGCAGTCCAACACCAGGCGCATTGCTGGGTCATGGACACTAGAAACTGGTGGATGGAATTCTGAGTGAAGACAGGACTCTTAACTTTCCAGTTCTGATGGGACCAACAGCACTGTGGCTGAGACATGTGAACTCATTTCTAGTTCTGTCCTTTTCTACCTATGCAGTTCTGGGTGGATCTGAGCCTTTGTTTCTTCAACCAAAAACAGGTTGACAGCAGGATTTGTGGGAAGAGGGTTGTGTGTGTGAATATATATCAGCACAAGAGCTGAGCATGACATGTGCCTGCTTCTGTCCCA